GACCTTTCAGAATATATATATTTGAGTTATGATTGTATTTATCATTTATCACGTTTTTTGATCAGGTCACCTCCCTGATGGACAGAGGGAATGCTGTAGATGTAGTATATCTTCACTTCAGCAAAGCTTTTGGCAAAGTGCCCCATAATATCCTGATTAGCAAGCTAAGTAGGTGTGGGCTGGATCGATCAAGGGTCAGGTGGATACACAATTGGCTACAGAATCGTACTCAGAGAGCGATCATTAACCAGTTACTTTGGGAGTTGGTGAGTGCTCCAACACTGGAGGCATTCAAGAAAAAAAAATCACCTGGCAGATATCCTTTGATTGTACTCCTGTGCTGAGCAGGGGGTTGAACGTGATGGCCTTCCAACTTCAGTTTTCTTTGATTCTGTGATTCTATACAGGCAGAGACTCAACATTTTCACAGAAAGATATAGAGCACAAGTGACGTAGTGAATAGATTGTTTAGCTGGGATTTTCAAGATCCAGGTTATAGTCATTAGTCTGTGCTCTGCTGCTTTTAAATGTATTTTGTAGTATTCTGGCTTTTAAATATTGTCTTTTAATTGTTACAAGCCTCCTTGGGTCCTTTAAGAAGAATGGTGAAGTAAAAATATTGAAAATAAAATAAATTAAAATAAAATAAATAATTGGGCCATGAAACTTATGTCAGGAATTGCAGCTTGCTTAGCATCTTTAGATTCCCCAAGTTCTCCAGTTCAGACATCATCGTTTCCATCACCAGTCTATTTACAAATATACAGATAGACAAATAGACAGACTGGCCTCATTTGTGCCTCTGAGTGAGATGATCTCTCAGAGTAGTTAAGCTGAGGATAGCATAGGCCCTCAAAATGAACCAAATTGTACATGTCTTCATACATATTTATATTCACAATATCCAATGACAAATTACATCAGTTTCTTACACATTACACCATCTACTTATACAGCGTGACTCTACACTTTTCTTGATTAGTAGCACCTGCTGTGCTTGATCTTCACCACATATCTATTTGAGTTAATAAATTTGGAGTTCATGACAATGTCAAATCCTTGACAACTTATGGAATGACCTTTGGCCAGTCACTCTATCTCACAGTGTTGTTATAAGGATAATGTATGAAGGAGAATTATTGTGCAGCACTCTGAGCTCACTGGAAGGAGATAGAAATGTAATCAAATTAGCTTCTGGAGATCACTCCCATGGCTTTTAAGTCTGTTCTGTTGGTGTCTTTCTACTTCCAAAGAAACTGCTCCCTCAGCCATGCTTACTTCAGCTTTCAGGGCCTGTCTGGCCTTTTAGAGACAAGATTTAAAAGTAATCAGTTAGGAAATTGCAGGAAGAATTGAGCAGTGGTGGAGAAAAGGTTTTGGACATCCCCGTCTTCCAAGATTCTGTTCCCCATATTTGTTTTACAAGAGAAATGAGGGTGTGGGAGCCTTATTTTTGCTTTGTAATGTCAGCTTCCACCTTAATTCATACTGGAATTTGGCAAGATGCCACCGCTGCAAACCTATGAATTACACAAAGTTCTGTGCTGATCTCCACTGATATATCTTGCAATCATGGCATCTCCACCTGAGACACAGCAATATTAAATGCTCTTCATCATACTCATTTAGTTTGCAATACTTACCAGCTTTCATTTCCCGGGATCCTAAGAATAAGGTGTTCTTCAGATTGCCTATAAAAACAGATCAACATTTTATTTAATTTGGTTAAATATTCTGTTTTAACTAGCTGTGAAAATAATCTCTCCAACCTACGATATAAATGTGCATTGATCCTACTGTGAATTTTCATATTGCTTTGTTAATATCTTTGTGTATTTTGCAGGATTGAGGGTGGGGTATTTTTCCAGTGGATATGAGTTCCTGCATAAGTCATTTGAATGAAGGGCTTTTCTCTCCTTTGTTGTTTGTATATTATATTTTTCCAGGTTTGAAAATACAATAAAACAAAACATGTTTAAAAGTTGTAGGATGTCTTCTGGTGTTAGCAGATGTTTAAAATTTATTTATGATGTTCAAGTTGTCATTTGGAATTCTGTTTTAGGCCCTGAACAAGTTCGCCCTCAATTGATAAAGGCAGTCATGGCACCTATAGCATTAATTGGAGAAAGCTACCAGTATCCCCCAGTGAACTGGGCATCTATTCTTTCCCCTCTGCTGCGGCTAGACTTTGGTAAGTTAAAAAATAATATAATTGGTGAATCATAGCCATGTTGTCTGAATTGCAGATGTGGGCAACTTGCTGTAAGCCCCAGTCAACAAAGCTAATGGCCAGTTGCCAGTGGTCAGGAATAATGGGAGTTGTACTCTGTCAGTATCAACATCTGTTTGCCAGGAACAGGGATCTAAATCCTTTCTCCTCTCATCCTTTGCAAGTAAGGGTGAAGAATTAAAACATTCTATTTGCTATTGAGGATGGCAAAATCATTATCATCATCCCTTCCAGGGTCACAGGCCTTGTTGAGTCAGAAGGTCTTCAGTGAGGATGAGAGCTATGCTGGGAGTAGTGTTGCTACCTGAAGGGTCTCCCAAGCCAGACTGGTCTCCAATGAGAAGTCAGACCAACTGTGTCCACCAACCATCAATTATGATGAGAGGAAATAAACAGAAATCCATACTGAATCGGTCGTCACCCATATCAGATGCTAAAGCCCCTGGATATCTTGTGACAAATGGGTTACAGGGCTCAGGAGACCTTGTTGAGGAACCAGGAAAGGCTGCAAAAAGCTATTGGAACAATGTAAATACAAAACTTGGATTCCCGCTGAAAATGGAGAAGTTATAGAAATGCTGTAATGAGGCAAACCCAACAACCTCTGGTTTTCAAAAACAGAAAGATGGAAATTTGGAAAAGGAAACACCCATCTAGTGACATAACTGAACAATGATTGATGGACCAGAGAAAGTTTATTATCTGGAATAATGTGTTTTCAGAACTAGAATTGCAGGAACTAGAAGAGATGGCAAAAGAAAAATCAACACAGATCAATGACCATAGTATGGAAGACAAATGGAGGGTAGAGGTAGATGTAATACTGGAAGAAAACATATCAATAGAGGAACAACCTATGGATCAACCCAGAAATTATGAGTTGACAGAGTGGCAAACATTACTGAGGGAAAAAATAGTAAACCATATTAGCCAGAATCATAATTTTGAATCACAATCATAGTCATGTACTCTTGAGTAAATTCTGACTTATGGTAACCCTTTTCAGGTAGAGAATACTCAAAAGTGGCTTATTATTATTCCTTCTTCTGGGAGCACCCTGAGACTATGCAGCTTGCCTAAGGCCACACATAGTGACTTTCCTCCCAGGAGGCACAGTGGGAAATTGAACACCCGACCTCTAACTGCAGCCAGATACCTAACTTATTTTCTTTTGGTATATCTTGAAAGGAGCAGTGCTTCTGTGTGCCCCATTCAAAGTAGATAGCTCATGGATGCGAGAGATGGGGAAGTGGGCTAAGGATTCATTTGTCGTTGTCATCTTAGAACAGCAGAGCTGGAAGGGACCCTACGGAACATTGGGTGCAACTTCTATCAGGGAGGCACAGTGGGGAACTGAACTCCCAACCTAATAATAAATCATATTAGCCAAAACACAGGAAGACAAAGGCTCCCCATTTTGCGCTAATTACAAAGTAAACCAGTAAAATATTTACTGACAGATGCAAACGTAGTAATCAAAACAATCCCAACCAAGCATATGGAAAAGGTTCAGAGGGATCTAATATATTTAAATAGGGAATATTTTGAATTTAGTAATAAAAATTCAAAGCTTCTGGTTAAAGCATCCCAATTTTAAAAAGTAAGAGTAAAGTAGGAGTTATAGTTTTTTTTATAACTCCTACTTTAAAAAGTAGGAGTTATAAAAAAACAAAATGGGGATAGATGCAATAAAATGAAAGAGAAGTTAGAAACTTTTCAAAAAATGTATAAAGACTTACATACAAGTAAGAATCCTTCCATAGGAAAAATTGAAGAATATATGAAAAAAGAAATTTAAGGAAGTATTACTGGATGAGGATAGAGAAATAATGGGCAGAACAATTACAGAGGAAGAGATAGAAGTTATTATAAATAAGTTAAAGGTAGGGAAGACACCTGGCACCGACGGATTAGGCCCAGAGTACTATAAAATCTTCCAAAATTATTAGCCCAAAATTAAAGGATTTATATAATGGTATATTAAATGGAGAAGAAATAACACTATTCTACCTCAGATCTCCCTCTGTCTCCCTCTCCACTCTGACTCCCTGACTGACTCTTTGCTCTCTGACTCTGCCTCTTTATTACATATCACTTGGCTCCGCCTCTTAGCACCATTAGCCTGCAACATGAATATGCATGACTACTTAACAAGGGTGAACACTACAAATATGAACAAACTTTGATATTGTTCCAGAAAATTGCAAACAGGTTTTACTAAATGTAGTTTTTGATTTGGTGTTTTATATATGCCAATAAAGGTTTTGATTGATTGATTGAATTCAAAGGAAGAATAGAAAATGTAATTAAATATTCAGGAATTTATATTATATAGAATTTACAAAATATAATTAAATCAAATATGGACAAATTGAAGAAAGAAATTAATGAACAGATACATCAGAACCAAAAATTAAAATTGTCTTGGTTTGGTAGAATAGTGTTATGTAAAAGTTTATCCCTAAACTTTGTATTTTAGATTCTCCCAATAAAGATTGGAGAAATATATTTGAAAGAATGGCAGAAGTTAATATATAATTATTGTAATGGAAATAAGCGAACAAGGATCAATAAGAGGCTATGGTATATTTCACAAAAAGAAGGAGGGCTTGGGCTACCTAATATTAAATTATATTACATTGCAATTCAAAGTAGGCATATGCCAGATAATGTAGTACACACTAGAAAGCTAATGTGGAGGGAACTGGAAATTGCCAGAACACCCGGATAGAATGGAGGCCTTCTTTTTTTAAAAGAAAAAAATGTAGACGAAATTAAGAGAAGAACTACCGTATTTTTTGCTCCATAAGATGCTCTGGATCTTAAGACGCACATAATTTTTAGAGGGGTTAAACAGGGAAAATA